TTCTTTCTTTCTTTCTTTCTTTCTTTCTTTCTTTCTTTCCTTCTTTCCTTCTTTCTTTCTTTCTTTCTGATCCCCATTAGTTGCAGGTTTTGCAGCTACTCTTCCTGGGGTCCACACATTAAACATAAAACAACACAAAATACATAGCATATTATAATTATAATAATATCATTTTAAACACAAAGCTAACCTCAACCCTTAACTAAGATAATCTAATATGCATCATTTGTCCTCTTGATGCAGAATATTGACATTACTAACTTCAGCAGCAGCTGGGTGGATGGTCTGGCGTTCTGTGCCGTCTACCACACGTACCTCCCCTCTCACATCCCGTACAGCACGCTAACCCTGGACAACAAGGTAGGATGTGTGCTCTGAATTACAGCTAGAACCGAGGCATTTTTAACATTTATATCTAATTTTTTTTTTTTTTTGCTTTTTTTATAGAAGGAGAATCTGAGTTTGGCATTTAAAACTGGAGAGAGTGTAGGGATTTCCCCATCTCTGGTAAGATTTTTACTCCCTTTTAACAAACATTAAACGTCGGTTTGTGTTTAAATTCATACACTTGGGAGAAATACTTGTTCGACAGACGGTGGATGAGATGCTGAGAGTGGGCGGACCTGACTGGCAGAGGGTCCTGAACTATGTGGAGAGCATCTACCGACACTTTGAGATGTGACCGCAGGAGGTACACGCAAACAATCCCAAAGTCATACGAAAGGACTATAACAAGAAAAGTATGTTTTCACAATACTTGCTCCATCTGCTTTGCTCTCGGTGGCAGTAAACGATAAGTTCAGTTTTTATTTTTCTGGCATGATGATAAACTGAAGATTATCTCAAAAATAGGTAAAACAATGGTCAAAAGCCTGCATAAGCCAGACACTGAGACACAGATATTTATAAACTGTGGCATTTTAAATTCCAATGTGACTTAAGGGATAGTAGAATCAAGGTAGTGCATTGAACACAATCAACCACAAAGGAGCAGAAAGAAGAGGATGTGAGGACGAATGTTCCTTCCTTATGGACAAACAGATTTACAGAAGGTTGCTTTTAGTTGCCTTCTCTTAAAGGTTCTCATTGCAAACTGTAAACTGAAACAAAAATAAAGCATCCATGACTACATCAGATGGTGCCGTTTGAAGGAGTTTTCTCCAGTAGTTGTCTCGATAAACTGATAGGCTTTGTTTACATTGAATGTGGACCTGCCTTTTAGAATTGCCTAAGTCCAACAAAAACCACAAGGAAGGTTGTTTCACGTGACTGACCTCCAGTCGGCTGGCTGTAGTCTGTTCAGGTCAACAAATATGGCTGAATCAGAAACATGTAGAGTCTCTAAGATGTTCAAATCCCATCTGCATATTTTACTCAACAAATCCAGTCATAAGTACATACCAGTATTACAAAATCTCCATGTGTTTTCTATGGGCATTGCCATTTTTTTTTACCTATTAGTCACTTAAGCAGTTTCCAAAGGGAAGAAAAAAACAAATTTTGCCTGCAGATTTTGATTTTAAGAACACATTACCCCTCCAATAAAATAATAATAAAAAAGTACAGATTTTGCTTCTTTGACACTGCAATGAGTAGTTTTATTAGCAAGTTTTGTTTTTCATAAGGAGGGTGTTAAATTGCTCTTAATGTCTCAACACTGGTACTTCATTGTATGGCTCATTATTTAACTGATCAAAATGTTGGATTTTTTTTCTGTTTTTATATGTGATGCATTTTGAGAATTCTACCTTTTTCTCGACCTGAAGCACCTTGTAGATGTGGTCCTTCACCAGCTCGACTTTCACATTCACTGAAAAAACTTGATAGGCATACAGCTGCAGCCTGAAAAACATCTATCTTTAGTTCACAAAAAAATAAACCACAAACACACAAAAGTGCCTTCATGTGTACCAGCACTGGTTAGATGATTCAGTTGTGCACCTAAAGAATGATAGCGCAAAACCAAGCACAAGCCCACACAAGCATTCACGTCCAATTTCACCATCCTCTCACCTCTTATCTGCTTTCTCGCTGATACWCGGCTGATGTTGCTAAAACATGTTTGTAGCCAAAGTTTAACGTGTCCAAATCTGGACACTGTTCGCTGTAAAATATGTTGATATGTGTGAAAAGATTGTCCCAAAGCAATAAACTGTTAAACTATGGTTGCAAGTATTGTGTAATCATTTCTTGTTCATGTTTAAGAGCTGAGCAAACTCACTTAAATGGATCAAAGTGAAGGAGCTCATGTTTGAAGTGTCGAGGCTCGTCTGCCCTCTGCTGGTGAGTTAGAGGTAATGCAGGTMTTTTTTGTAGCCGTGTCATTATGTTCCACAGCAAAACCCTTTTTGTCACTGCCTCCTGCTTTAAACAAAGTCTGTGCTGGAYCCATAATTGCCACCTCTTATCCTGTTATGCTGTTATTTTTGTCTSCACCAGCTCTTTGTGGAACCTGTGTTTTTCTGTCACATTTATTCACAGCGAAGCAAACATTTGTGTCATCCTGTATTTTCGCTTTAAAGCATTCAGTGTCAGCTTTTTATTTACTTATTTCTATGATTGATTATTTACCATGAATGCATTTTGGATCCTGATTGCTCCCAGAGTTTTCTTAAAAAAAAAAAAAAAACAACAACCAAAGGAAACTTGCGAGTCTGTCATCTTTTGTTGTCATGAGATAATTAAAACGTCAGGCCCTGTTTACCACATTGCTGGTGTTGTCACAGACATTGTGCTGATGTTGAAGTCTAAAAACTGCTCAGGAAGGTTTCAAATTATCTAAAAAAAATTGACGCTGATTTAAGAGGAAACGTAATTTTAAGATAACAGATCTTAAAATTAAAAAGCTTAAAATTTCATGACATTTGCAAGGCAAAGTTTAAAAACAGATTGTGTGATCAGGYAGCTCTCAGATTATTGGTTGTGGATGACCCTCGGCGACCCCTACTCCAAATCTCACTGTGACATCTGTAAATCTGACTGAGTTTTGTTCTTTCTAAAAGCAGTTATCTGGCAGCCGTCTTGACTTCAAAGATAGTTAGTTGTAGCTTTACATCCAGCCTTTATTCTATGAGAGCTTCATTAAMATCTGCCTACAGGGGTTGAGATATTTTGCTAACAGGACAAACATATGCACCAACAAGAGCGAGAACATGAACACCCTTTGACCTCAGGGTTGCGTGCGTTTAGATACCACAGATACTTTTTCTTAGTATGAACACAATAACGCTTMGACGGGACTGGGACTTGGCAGACTCCGAATAAAAAGATGAGCCTCGCCCCTCTGGGTAAAGGTAATCAGATCATGAGAGCATCCCTGAYAATGARTGTGCGTTTGTGAACCTGGGAGTTGACGTCGGGACGAGAGGTGGAGTTCTGTCACCTGCATGCAGGCAGCTTCAGTTACACACGGCTGTCAGTTTAGGGTGTGAAACCGAAGCTGAACGTGTGACTGAGATCCCAGCCGATTTGGACAACATGAACAGGATCTGGATCTTCGTTTTTTTGTCTCTTTGTGTTTCTGGTTTGACGCAACGTTCGTCCAAGTAAGTTCCATYGAATGCAGCGCCTCATTTTAGCTTTGAACAGTGGTTAATTACTTTATCAATGCAATGCACACTATTGTGATTCGTTTCCCATCCAAGTCATCTCAACTTTGCCATGCTTCTCCTCCTGCATAYTTTGTCCTAGAGCTGCCATTGTAATTTATATCTGTAAAGCTCCTGTGCCAAATGATGGCTATGCCTTTTGGTGCCTGTAAAACGTATAGTTTATGAAATATTAATGTTTAATGAATTATAATGGCAGTCAATGGAGCCTTGTATTGGTCCAATATTGCCCCATGCTGTACTCAATTTGGTACTGCACCATAGTTTTTTTAATATTTATTCTCAATAGTTCAGTGTTTACAATACTAATATGATTGTGTTTTGATGTTTTACTATAATATTGTTTTAATACTGCTCGATTGTTGTAATATTATGCATTTTTGTGTCAATAATTGTATTGGCAATGTGGCGGCTTTCTGCACACATACAAACCAAACCCTGCCACCATCTTCTACCACAACTCCACTGGTCTAATGGTCTATGTCATGGACTGTCATGTGGGAGATCAGGGTTCAAAACCCAGCTAATGCAACCTTAACAAAAAATCTCTTCAAAYTTCATATTGTCACATAATTACCTTAAACACAAACACCTGCTGAYGTGACARGCACAAGCTGGTATAGAAAACACATTTGAACTTGGTCAAAGTTCTTTCTGCAAGTCCAATGCTGCAGGCAATGACATGCTACATAGCAATGCACATTTGTTTTTACATCGTAAAAACCCCTGTCTAGTTATTATTATTTTTTGTCTTTCCTAGTACCTCCTTGTTTCTGATCACAGCTCCAGAGGTCGTACATGCTGCCACACCCACTCCCTTGGCTTTCACCGTTTTTACTAACTTCTCTGGCCAAATACAAGCTGAGGTGACACACAGAGACACAAAAATAAGTCAAACGGAGAACTTTCAAGGAGGTGAAACTATAATRCCACAGATTTATTTTTACTTGATAAATTGTAGCAGCATCTAAAAACCTGCTGTTTTGTTTTAAAGGTTTGACCAGGATCCTCACACTTCCTCCTGTACGTACAATGCATTGTCCCCATTCATAAATCCTCATCACAGCTCTAAACAACTGTTTCAGTCTAAAGTCTAATCATGTGGCTGGTCATTTCCACAGTTTCCGTCCTCCTTAGCTTCAAATTCTCCGTTAAATCTGACAGTTTTCGGCTACAGGGAGAACAGCCTGATTTTCACCACCACCACCAGCCTCACCTTCAACCTTAAGAACGTCTTCTCCTTCATTCAAACCGACAGATCTCACTACAGACCGGGGGACACCGTCAGAGTCAGAGTTGTGTCGGTCCAGTTTGACATTAAGCCATACAGAGGCACAGTGGAGATGTCTGTGCTGGTACCGAGAACACAACCAGAGGAAATCCAGAGATCTGATATATTTATTACCTGTTTGGTAAAAGTCTGGACTGATGTGTTTTTATCACGTAGGATCCAAACGGGGTGATTGTGGACCGGTGGAACGCCACAGAGAATCTGGGGATTTTCTTGAAAGAGTTCAGTTTGTCCCAGGTGTCTCCGTTTGGACAGTGGATGATCACAGCAACAGTGAATGTAGGTTTGAAAACTTTTTATTTTTATTTCAGTAGTAGTTTCAGTTCCAAATTATCAAAACTAATGTTTTTTCATCCTTCTCACAGGGGGTCACTGATGAGAAAAGATTCATTGTGGAGGACCGTGACAACGCATCTACTGGTAATACTGGGCAGTATTACCTTTTTTGTTAAATGCACACATTAAATTCTATTTTGTTTTAGGTTTATTTTCACTGCAGTTTGCATTTTATTATGACTTCAGAGTACCTGTCCATTCTGTGTACTTTTGCACAGATTCCACCTACCTTCTGTTTCACGAGCAATTTAATTTGTCGAATAAAAGACAAAATTCACAAATTGCAAAATAAAATACACATATTTAATKTTTTTAACACTGATTTGAAATTATCCATAATTATTCTAGCAATGCTTTARTTGTCATGCCTTGTTGAAAATTGCATAAAACCTATTTAGCGAGTTGTTTCGATGGCTAGAACAGCAGTGGTTGGTACTCAAACATGAGAGAACACTCAGTTGCCAAGAATATCTAAATGTGGTAAAATCTATTTCTAATGATTGCTTTTGCAGCTTTTCCTCCCTTTGATGTTCTGCTAAAGACTTTGTCACAAGTGCTTGTTGGGGAAAACATCTCAGGATCGGTGAGAACTTAGTAAGTTCAGTTTCAGTCTGTAAAGTCACAATTTTAAATCCAGCAGAACGTCTGTTTTGATTTATTTTTCTGTGGGCGGTGACGCTCTGTACCGACCTGCTGTTAGGACTGCATTCTTCTGCTTCGTTACACGAGCCACTCTTTTAAAAGTATTTCTAAGTATTTCTCCATACGTTTAAAAGTACATCTTCAACTTGTCATTCTCCCACTTTGGGACTTTCCACCCACACGCCTCACAAACGTTCCTGTGAATTATTTAATGTGTGTTGTACCTGCCGCAATTTTACACCTTGCTGTGCCAATTACACATTTATAATGTTATACTGAATAATTAATATACATTTATAATGTTGTACTGAATAATTAAATTTCTTTTAGTTACCCCAGTGGACAACCTGTACGAGGCACGTTGGTTGTTAAGGTCACTTCTGAACCTTTAAACATATCACAAACTAAAACGGTGAGATTTTAATGTATCTCTTCCTTGTTTATATAATTTTAAACACTAATTAAAGTCAAACTGAGCTCTAATGATGATTGTAATCACCCCTTTTAGATCTACGGATCCACAAATTTTTCCTTCAGCAGAGATCAGCTTCAGTTTTTATTCTCTTCGTCAGCATTTAGCATCAACAGCCTTGTTTTCCACATTACTGCCCAAGTTAACGACGTTATCACAGGTATGATAGATTTTATTCAGTAATGAATGTTTCAGTTGCAGCACCAGATGGATTTGGTTTTTATTTAAGGTTTAACTGTGAAAAAAAACGTTGAAGTCCACCTCGAGCGGGATAAATTCCACCTTACCTTCCTCAATTTTCCACCCTCCCTAAAGCCGTCCTTACACTTCTTTACAAATGTAAGTAAAATAGTTCTTAAAATATTTCGTTTTGTGTTGATTAAACTATTATTGCCGTCTTCTCTTGCACGCCTCAGCTCAGGATCAGCAGATACGACGGGAAGCCTCTGAGCCTGTTGGATTTAAATCACTCCGCTGTGGTTGAAGTCGCTCAGAAAACCTCGTTCCTGAACTCTGATCGTGTCACYCTCACACTTCCTGTACCGAAGGACGGCAACGTGCTCATCCAGTTTAAATTAGACGCTCAAGCGGAGATGCTTTTAATAGTGGTGAGTATCCTGAATCACCTCGTGGAAGTAAATCTTCCAGGTCGACGAGGATTCAGCTGCTTTGTTTCATGTGATGAGGGGAGGTTTCAGGAAAGTACAACACAGTGACACGTTTATTGCTGAGGAAATCCACAAGACGTTTAGATCATTTAGTCCTGGGTGTAAGAAGGCAGCCATCTGAGAGAACGTCTAGGTCAGATTTCAGGAATCCAACGGGACTCCTATTGTTTGTCTTACTTTTAAATCCAGGCCAAATTCCAGTCCAGTGAGGAAACCCTGAAGGTTTACAACAACTACTCCTCCTCTAGTGGTTCCTACATTCAGATCTACCCAGTCAGCACGTTACCTGCACAGGTACTGTGACTAGCATATTGTGTGTACAATAATTGATTTTACTCACACATACATCTAATATACTGTCCGACATTACTAACTTTCAGATTGGGTTACCATTTCAAATGAAAGTGGAGAGCACCTTCAAAGCAGCTACGTTTCACTTTGTGGTAAGTTTGCTGACATGAATCAGACATTAAAAGCAAAGCAACTACAGATTAAACAAACATTTTCATAACATTAATTACAAAGGTGTTAAGACTAGTAAAAGTTGTAAAGAGTGTTTAAAAATATGTATTTTTGAATTTWTAAAGTAATAAAAAGAAACTGCTGGAGTAAACTTTTTCCTCCTGCATCTTTTGAACAGTTCAGGATAACCTATAAAAAACCTTTATTTAGAAGCAGAATGTTGCAAAGCTTTTCTTTTAGCCACCATTGATTTAAAAAAAACTTTTAAATTTATATTTTAGTTATAGTTGCTTTTCAAGTAAGTATTTGATTTATAGACAAAATGTTCACGCAAGAAAGTGGAGCTTAGTGTCATGATATAAATARAAATAAATGTGACCAATAGATCTTTTGCATATTTCAGACATAATGCATGCACGGTTTTCAGGCATTCACCKKAAGTAAGGGGGATTATTTGCTGTATGAGTCGAATGTTTACATTCCTTCCAACGATAGCAATGGCGAAAAGTGACTTTTGTAGYGTGTATAATTGTTCGAGGCAACGTGACAGAGTAAAAGAAAAAGGAGAAGCTTTCTCCTTTTACTAAATTCGTCTAGGAAAGTCGAGCAAAGCCGCTACAAGAAGAAAGCTGTGGCTCAATGAGCTTTGCCGTCACGACTTCACTCTGACAAAAACAGTAAAGTGTGTAATCAAAAATAAATAAATAAATCAGTCTAAAGTTCAGCAAGTTTTGGTGTGAGAAGTTCTATGACATCGACACAAACGTTTGATTCTGACTCTTGAGTCAAATGTTAGATGAAAACAAGACAAGAAMAACTAACTAACCCTGCTGGGCGTTCACAAAAGGCCTGGAGGATTTCACCACTGTCARTCAGTGCAATGACCGCTCCATAGTTCTGTTGCTTCATGCTTGCTTTGGCTTTAGCAYGTATGACAGCAGTGCCACAAACACTAACACTGAACGTGGCCATCTTTAAAAACGTGTAGGCTTTCGCCAACTTCAACGGCCTTGTTTTGGTGATCATCTTTTTTGACACGGTGCCCCCCCCCACCACCGCTGCTTCACAATGACGTACTCCCCACAATTTTCTGAAACCACGCATCGGCATTACAACTCGCCATCGTCATCTCGCTCTTACAAGTCACATTCCCCCCTCACGTCCGGTGACTGTGGTGGCATTTCACCATCCAATCAAAGTGTTCGTTTCATGCGTGCTCTGTAATGTGCAAAAGGAGTATTACACAAAAGAAATTACAATTTGGTGTTTAAGATACACGTAGCATAAAATTTTAAATTTGCTTTTTGTCATCACTTGCAAATGTATTCCTTTACCAAAAAATATAACTATACCATAAATGTGTGAAAGATTTCTGCCTTTCATATGAAAACACAATGTTTTCCATATATATAAACATTTTAATCTACAATACGTTTAACCTTTAGTTGTGTATTTAGTCTAAAATAGAATATTTCTATTTGCTCCGACAAATGCTTCAAATATGTTTAGAAAAAACAATGCAGKATAAAATAAGTCCCTCCATAGATGTTGTGTTTTGCAGGTGCAGACAGAGGTAACGGTCCTAATTTTAAGAAGTTTGTCGTTCTAACACCTGTCTTGTGCTGCATTAATTCCAGGTGAGCTCTAAAGGTCAGGTGGTGGCTGCTGGAACAAAAAACGTCTCTTCTACTTTGGATCTCATACCGGCACCGTCCTGGTACCCCGAAGCGTGTTTCRCTGTCTTCTGCATCCTCTCAGACGGGGAGATAATCAGCGACACAGCACACATACCCTTCCATCAAAACAACCAGGTGTGACCATTTATTCAACTGAAGCCTTCTTAAATACTAATATAACTGATGGTGATCCAGCTGGTTGCGCAGGTGATAGTTTATTTTCTTGTTATTTGCAGTTGACTCTAAGCTGGAGCCGTGATCRGGCCCAGCCAGGTGAGCAGGTGTCGCTCACTGTGGCCGTCGGTGAGTCCAGGTTTCAAGCAGCACTCGTGGTAATGGAGAAGCAAAACGAGGCACCGCGGTCTTATATGGAGTTAAAAACGGAGCAGGTACCAGAACACTTTGGACTATAAAAAGCTCAAAGGTCAACTATTGTAATATAGTGCATCTGAAAATAGATCARAACTCAGAAGTATCTTTTAGGCTATTGTTTTGTTGACATGAAAAGAGAAGTATGTTCAGAAAACTAAACTTCAGTCTAACTTTAAAAAAGAACATCACTTGTTTGGACACAGTTTAATTTGCTTTATGAGACCTTTGTTTGTTTGATTACAAAAGAATCTCCCCGATTATCCTTAATCTCTTAGCAAGGTTTTTTTGGCCGTGAGGTGCTGTGAGAGTAACGGAGTGGGACCACAAAACCAGTGTAACAAATCTGCCTGCTTTGTTGGGAGGTAGCTCGTTTTTCTAGGAGCTGGAAACTTTAGAGTTTTGGCTGCAGGAGCTGAAGGTTATTTATGGTTTTTAAACGGCAGTAAGAGTTTACATCTTTAGATTTCCAGATATCRTATGCCATATATTGTGATATAGAACAAAACATTTAAAAAAATGTTCCTCAGGCAAAGCCAAGGCAGAGACTTTTTTAAAAGATTATATCTTTTACATATTAAAATGCTTAAAGGGAAAGTTTTATTGTTTTTGGTGGTATTGTGTAGAGTAGTTTTGAGCAGTCAGTATCTTACCTGTTGCACATGGCAGATAAGGTGATCTCAGTATGGAGAATCAATGATMATTTTTATGGTGGTATTTAAGGTAACCACTACTCAGAGCAGGGGTCAAATTTAATTTGTTTTTTAATTGGCTTTTTGACTCCCTTGTTCTCTGAAATCTGAGATGGTTCTGATTTGTCTGCTGCAGGTAAGATACCAACTAGTTATAACTACTCCACAGAATGCTTATAAACTAACAGCTTATGTTTTAATACAATAACACACAACCGTTTTAGGCGTCTTCATTTCTCTCATTATGCAGAGATGTAATCTTAAGATGATGACCAACGCATTATTGAATGAGAAAATACAACCAGATGGACCTAAAAACGGTAAATGTTACTCCTTTTTATAGTGATTTTTTTCTTTACGTTTTTTTAAGCTCGTTGAGCTAATTTCACAAATCCAATTCTTCCTCACATGTCAAATGCACATAATGTTAACTTATTTTCTCTTTTTGGGATGGCTTTCAGATTGTGATGATGGTCTAATTATTGAGAAATACTGGAGCCAGTGGATTGGCACCAGTGAATCACTTCTGTGGTTTGACTCTAATGTCAGGTAGGAGTTTAAAAGTTCACATTGTGGATGAAGGGTTTGCTGTTCAGTTGATGTTTCAAAACATGCTTTTTTTCATTCACGTGTTTCAGTGAGAAGAACTGGACCAGTGGGAAAATAGCAGTTCCTGATGGTGTCGATTCCCTTGAGGCTTTAGCACTTGTGATGTCCGAGAACCTGGGTTTGAGTTTCACCCCGGTACCTCTCAAGGTAACCGAACCCTTCAACTGGTCTCAGTTGGCCAGAAATGTTTCTCAAACCACATGTCTTAAAACGTAGACACACAATTTTCTAATCTTGTTCCATAACTTGTTGTGTTTGTTGCTTTTCTTTTGTCGWTGACAGCTGAGCATATCCAAAGATTTCTCCTTGTATTTTATCCTCCCTCCATACGCCATCAGACGAGAGGAAATCGTGCTGGAAGTAAACGTAACCAACCATTTGGACCATGACATTGAGGTATGGATAAAATGTATGCCAGCTAAAGTAAAACTAGTTAATCATATTGGTATTACCTTCCTTTTTTTAAAATCCTAAATCCTTCCTGTAAAACAATTTTCATATGTTTTAGGTCATCGTGTATATTGCGCAGACTGAGGCCTTTGAGTTTGTTTTGACGGAGCGACGTAACACATCTGTTATAAACGCCCAAAAACTAATTTTGGGAAGTCATCAGACGGCGTCATCCTTATTCCCTATAAGGCTGTTGGCTTTGGGCGAGAAGRACATTTCTGTGGTTGCTTTATCTGCAGAGGCCTCAAACAGCTTTACTCAGAGAATTATGGTGAAGGTATGGCATGTACAAGTAAAAGATTGGATTTAACAAGCCAGGGAAAAGGAAAGAGATGTGACTTTTTACTAAACCACATTAAAGAGTGATAACTGTGGACTTCTTTGATGTTCTCGTAGCCTGAAGGAGTGGAACAGTTCAGCTCACAGACTCTGTTCCTGGAGCTGGCAGAAAACCCAAACGGTCCCAGATCTGTTTCCTTCTCTTTTCCACCAAACGTGGTACCAGGAAGCCTGAGGGCCCAAATAGCACTGGTTGGTACGTCTACCATTCAAACACCCTTAAGTGCCAGACTCTGGGTCGTTACAATTGAATGGTTTCTGTGCTCGATGTGGGAAAAAGCTTTCTTGTGTTGCACAGGTGATATCCTGGCTCTGTCCATCGAATACTTGGACTCACTGGTTCAGATTCCCACTGGGTGTGGGGAGCAGAACATGATCCGCTTTGCTCCAAGTGTGTACGTTCTCCAGTATTTAGACAAGTCGATGCAGGATGACCCCGAGATCAGGAGCAAAGCGTTGAGCTACGTAACGGCAGGTAATCTGCCTTTTACATCCTAAATTGTTTTCACTGACTGTGTTTCACATAACCTGCTTCATGTGATAGACRTGTGCCGGTCAAGCCACAAGGTTTATTTTAGGATTGTTTATATTATAAATTTTCACTGTAGGTTATCAGAATCAACTGTCCTTTCAACGAGACGACGGTTCCTTTAGTGCTTTTGGACGAAACGACTCTTCYGGTAGCATATGGTGGGCCACCAATTCGGCGCATATTTGAACACAATCTGTCACTTAGATCAGAGATCTGAGCCTCTGATGCTTCTGTTCTCTTCCCTTTGTCACACCAGGTTAACAGCATTTGTGCTGCGGTGCTTCATTCAGGCTCAGCCCTACATGCAAATAAATGGGAGCATCCTGACCGGTGCCATGAGGTGGCTCCTGAAACATCAAGGGCCCAAAGGGGAGTTTGTTGAGGTCGGCAGAGTCCTCCACACTGAGATGCAGGGAGGGCTGGACGAGGACTCGGTGGCCCTCACCGCTTACGTGCTGCTGGCCTTTCTGGAGGAAGAGGCTTACTCTGTGAGTCAAAAGAATTKGTGTGTTTCAGTCAAAATAGCTGAATATGTTGCGAAACGGGCCTAAAACCTGTAGGAAACTTTGCTTTATCTTTTTTAAAGGTCATGTATGAAAGCAATGTATCTCTGGCCCTGAGGTACCTGGAGACCAAAGCGTCCAGTGGTTCAATCCGCAGCAACTACAGCCTGTGTTTGGTGGCGTACGCTTTAGCTCTGGGCAAAAGTCCTATAGCTGCAAAAGTGCTCTTGGAGCTCAGCAGGAGAGATGACTACACAGGTGATTATCTTACAGTTTTGTGATCAGACTTTTAGAAGTCAMCTGATTCTGGTGAAGGATCTTTAGATACTGTAGAAACCAGGATCAATGGATGATTCATGAAGCTAAACTGTTTGTCTTTGGCCCGTGGATATAAAAGCTTAATGTTCCATTTAATTAAATGAAATCAGATTAAATAAAACACAGAGGTTGGTTGTGATTTAGTGGTTAAGCCTTGGGGTCTGATGCAGATGAGTTTCAGAACTGCAATCTTAGTGAGCTTTCGATCGATAAACTGAATGTTTTCTCTCTAAAAGTAACACCTGTCCGACCAATATGTATATAGAATGCCCTGAAAAATAGGAATTACATTTTTAACATCTTTTACATGAACTACAACATTGTTCAAAAATTAATGTATTATTCTAGTKAAATCTTTTGGAGTCTTTGAAAAACGTACGAGTCTCAAAGTCCGACTTCCCACTTCAGAGTGGCGTTCCAGTTGAGTTTTCCAACTTTACAGCTAGGGCTGGGCCAAATGGCAGTAAAACTTATCATGATACAGTATATGTGTTTCATATCTGTCATTATCAATARTTATTGATTAGTTTTAGACAGCATTGGTCTGACTCTTGTCGAACTTAAAATATCTAAAATATTGCCAAAATGGTGGCATGACCTTTCCTCTTTTATCCACAATTTCCTCTTTTGTTTTTTTTTTCGTGATGGCCTCCCTTCTCCCCCTATAGCCATCCTCCACACCATTATTATGTTTTTTTTTATAATAATAGGAGAAAAAAAAGAAAAAAGTGAAATGCAATGAGAAAGAGTGAAAAAGAGATTAGAAGATATGTAAAATATATGTTGAGAAAACACAAGACAGCACACCGGACTTCTCGGCTCCACACCTACAAAACAAAGATAGCAAAACCACAGCAACAAAAAAGCNATTTCCTCTTGAGCTGTTGCCTCATTTTCTCCTTTCACTCCACGTCGTTCTTTTTTCATTTTAAGCAGTTATGAYGCACGGTGGAGAAACTGCTTCTGCACGTTACTCCACAGGGGTTTTTGCTAGCTTGCCTTGTTTAGCTGCAGGCTTTTAGTTGCTGGTGCTTTGTATTGACACCCTCTTCCTTTTTTAGGTGCCTCATTTCAGTGTAACAGCATCCTAAATCAACGGCATCCTAAATCAATAATTCATTTTATATTAACCCTATGATGGCAGACTGGTCCGGCAAGCTAGCACTTTATCACTCGAATGTGCCGACAAGAGGAAGAAAGAAACCCCGGTTTACACATTTCAAAATAAAGCTCAAGCGATTTTTTTTTTTTGCGGCCATTTGTCGTCTATTAACAGTTTGAAGCTTTTCTTTTAAAGGTGAATCTCATCTTTCCAGGTGTTATTTAGCTGAAAGGTTCTAGCTTATTTTATCAGAAATTTATCAACCCTAAGCAGTTAATAACCAGTGAAACTATTGAGATTATATTCAATGTGTTTTCTACTGATATTGAACATGTGTCTATTGCGATATATATTAAATTATCGCCTTATTAACAACTCAGAAATTCCAAATGTTTTCTGGCTTTGTGTTTGGTTTATTGTTTCCTGATGCAGATTGATATTTAAAATGGAAAAAACAAAGTGATCTAATCATTTAGTAAATAGTTGATCGTTGGTTAGAACCTAATGTTTTCAGCCGAATGAGCATAATGTCTTGTATTTCTTTTATTTTTTTAAAGATGATGTCATGATGTGGCTCTCCTCTGCTGGCCCGAGAGCACTTGATCAGCAGCCGGGCTCGACACAGATTGAGATGGCCTCGTACGTTCTGCTGGCCTTTTTTATGCGAGGCAGCTTTATTGAAGGGATCGCCCTTGTGAAGTGGTTAAGTACGCAGAGGAGCCATCTAGGAGGTTTTGGAACAACTCAGGTGAGACTTCACTGAAAACTTTTTATCGTGCGACACTAAATGGTTTTATCTATTTCAAATCTGGAATTAATAATGCAATATTCTACTTCTCCCCATCATGATAGTTTGAAAGAACATTCTTCAAATCTGTGTAGAGTTGTGAAATATGAGCGTAGCAATAATCCAGATGTGTTTTGCCTCTGTTTCCTGCAGGACACCGTGGTTGCTCTCCAGGCTCTGGCTTATTACGCAGCATTCAGTGGTGCTAATGCCATCGACCTGAAGTTCAACATTTCTTCCTCCAATTCTTCGTTTGTGTCACTGTTCTGGATCAACTCAACCAACTATCGAGCTTATCAAAGCCAAAAAGTAGCCAAACAACAAATGTTGGAAAAAAATGATGTTTTACATTTGCTGTTTTAAGTGGATAAAAAGCCTAAAAACTAAATATTTTGTTTTTTAGATTAATCCAGAAAAGGATTTACCTCTAAATATAAACATGGATGGAAGAGGCTTTGCCATATTTCAGGTATGAAGTAAAACCAACTAAAACATCTTAAGTAATATTATCCTTAAAAATGCATGAATCATTTTATGATACAGATTTTATTACAGTTTGCACTGAACCCCCTCTGAGCTGTAACGTTTCCATACTTTCATCATGTTTGGCTCCAAAGTTTGTTGACAGACTGTTTAAACCACCGGGGCACGCTCAGAATCAATTGATGACAACATGCATGATAACGTCTCCCAGCAGCACAGTGTCCCACATAATAAACGCTAAATCAAAACACCAAATGCAAATGTAGCGTGATAATTGACTCGCAGCAGTTAACATCTGGAATACAGACTGTCTACTTTTAGCACGCCCAGATTTGATCGCTCGGAGGGAAACTATGGGAACATTTAAACGCTTCTCTGTGTTCCGCGTTGAATCCTGAAGTGTTTTGTCCAAAACGCCCCTTTTTAATGTTCACCTTATACATAGTTTTTTTCTGTTATGCAGACTGAGTGCAGGAAGTGTCCGTTTTGGTACGTTTTCCATTTTTAACTGTTTCTATAAATGTATCCAGCTGAACGTTTTTTACAACGTGAAGAGTGAAAACCTGCTGCAGACCTCAGATGAGGATGCGTTCTCGTTAACGGCTAATCTCACCGACAGTGACACTGATCACATCACCATGTCTGTGTGCACAAGGTAAGCACTGATGATGTAACGTGTACTGAAAACATTCATCAGTCRTTCGGACCATTTTCWATTTCACGTAATCAAATTATTTTGTGTTAACCCTCTCTAGACTAAAAGCCAATCAGCCAGTTCCTCACACAGGTATGGTCATGCTGGATGTGGGCATGCTCAGTAGCTTCATTCTTCTCCCTGGAGCTGCAGTTGAAGCAGATTTTATCAAACGGGTGGACAGAACACCTAATAAAATCAGCCTGTATCTGAGTTCTGTAAGTCCTAAATGATCTTTTTTATTTTTATTTGTTTAAATGGAAACATTTGCAGTTTTTTTAAATTCAGTAAGTGAAAGTGGAAGGTCCATGCATTATTTATAGCTTTCAGCAGGGTGGCATCATAGTCTTAAAAACTCATAAATACTTTACTATTCAACTTTGCACAAACTGGCCATCATACTGTACTTGTAACTCAGTTTTTTTGCATCTTTTATAGGTCAACAAGTCTGAGGTTTGCATCAGACTGCCTCTGGTCAGAATTTACAAAGTGGCTCRTGTTCAGGATGCTTTGCTGCAGGTTTATGACTACTATGAACCCAGTGAGTCCAGCTGAGAAGCTCAATAATCTGCTGCGCACGTGACTATAACACAAAACTGACCATCATGTCATTTGGTTATTTTCCTTTTTTTTATAGCGAGGAAAACAACAAAAATGTACAACGCAGACTTTCTTCATAACAAGGACTCTTGTTCTTTCTGTGGTAAAACATGTGATCCCTGTCGACCGGGGATCACCATCACCGTCACCCCCTCAGTGTTGTCTCTCTCTGCCAGAGGAGCTTTCTACAGCCTGATYTGCTTGAGCCTGGGAGTCGCTGCTTTTCTTCTTGTTGTCTGATCATAATAATAACACGCAGCTGGTTCATAGATATCCTGTTTACAACAGGGACAAATGGTTGTAATATTTAGACTTTTATCTTGTTTTTATGATGAGGTGCACATGTGCCCTCTGCTGTTTACAATGTGTTTTTATTTTTATTTTTTTACAAGGAAGCCAMTGCAAAATATATTTGAAAGAGTTAATGTATTTAAAATATGTGTGATTCTTTTCATTTCATGCATTTCATTGTAAATCAAGCTAGTTTTTACATTTTTATTACATTGACTTGACCCTGAAAAGGAAGAAGCGTGTACAGAAAATGGATGGATGGATGGATGGATGGATATTTTAGGCTACCTTTTGTTTCCATACCGGTTTTGTATAGCTGGCAATAAAACAAGAGATTCATTTGAAACTACGTGTGTCCCGTTGTCAGTCTTTCAGCACAAAATACTGACACAGCCCGCTGACCGAAGATATATCAATATAAAATGGCTACAAAGGAGGGATTTTCTAATCTGCTTTCTAGATATTATCTGGCTAATAAGTTGTGAACCAGGTCCTAGAGGCAGAAATGGGAACGAGCTTTTGGAGATGATTTAATGTGAGACTTCGTTTACCTTCTCCCCTCTGCTTTGTCACATTACTGTTTGCTGGAGGAATGCCTATAGAAGTATGCAGAGTAAAAACACATCTGCAGATTGTTACCAGGTTTGACATGAATCCTATTATTATGAACGTTATTGTTAGAATTTGAAGCTACTTTGCTCAGTTTTTTTTTGCATGAGAAAACATTTTGTCCCACTGAATAATTATCTCAGCATTTAGCTGAATACATGCTGAACTAAAGCTAAATGTTACTCATGATTCATTCAGCACAGGGGACTTATATACAWATATATTGTTGTTGTTTTTAAGACTGGGTTTTGCTGGAAACTCATGTCTGTTTTTTATATTTTGCRTATTTTATAGACTCTGAGAGAATGCATTCCTTCTTGGAACACTAAAATGTTTTGCTCGTAAGCAAAACCAGACACAGGAAGGACAGTTGTAGGTGTTACACACAAACACAGTTAAGTCATTCACATAAACATGCTGACTTTTAGTTTGTTTTACTTATAGTTGGAATTTAAAGCTTGTGAATATTTCAGAAATGTTTCCTTTAAATTTGTATTGAACATGGATGTGGTAATTGTGGTGTGGTATTCACTTTCTTTAGATTTAGAAAGGAGGACTGTGAATGTTTTTATGTTTCTATGTTTTGATCAAACATACATCTTGTGTTCAGCTTATATTTAACATGGTTTAACAGCTGATCGACATCTCCATGAGAAATTCCATGAAGTCATTTACAAGGTTTGACTAAAACAGCCAGAGCTCCTTCCCTTCACGGCTCAAGATGATTTCACTTAAAAACGTTGGTGTGAAAGGCTGTGGATGATAAATGTTTCTTCAATTCATTCTAGCTCTTTTTTTGTATATAAGATATGACTGTAATGGTGTCAGCAGTGTTTTAACAAGATTTTTACCACACTTTGGCAACTATTTTCAGGCTTCACCCTACAGTTTTCATAAAATACTTCCAAGCTGCAGTTTGAGTTTACAAACACTAGATGTCAGACTTTGCATCCTAATAGTTGTAAATTCAAAGGTTGTGTAAGAAATTCTGGAAGAAAAAGATTTGCATAGCACACTATACATCTGCCATATGTTTTGAGTTAAAGTGGCTGAAGTACAGCAAGCAAGCAGCTCCAAGTCCTTTTTCCTTCCCTTTTTTTTTAAACAGTAAAAAGTCTTGTAGAAATGTTCAGGTTGGACTTTAAAGCTGCCAGGTCCATTTTGCTGGTAAGTGCTTCCTGGGAGTTTGTCTTTTGTTGAGACCAGTTGTCTACTTGAAGATCACATCTGGGTTTGAGGTTAATTATTTTRTTGCTTGTCAGAATTAGATTAAATAACTCCATTAATATCTTCCTTTTTGTCAGGAATCCTCAAATTCTTAACACTCTTACCCCCCCTCCCCCCCCAAACACACACACACACACACAAAGAGGTTTTTCAGGTTTCTAAGAGTAAATGGATGACATCATGGCTCCTGAATGCCACAGACTGATTGACTGTTTAGACCCACAACAAGACTCAGGTTAGAAAAGGTCATTTGTTCTGACCTTTAAATGTGTGTGTGAGTGTGTGTGTGTGTGTGTGTGGGTGGGTGTGTGGGTGTGTTTGCATGAGGGAGTGTGTGTACACACCTCACATTAATAATTTTCATAAGAGGAATCAAACATGGACAAGCTTGCATATCAGTTCATGTCAGGACACTATGTTTGATGAGTTCTCACTAAAACTAAACTAACTTTAAACCTTTAATTCTGCTTTAAAAAGTCCCAATCTTACTTTTAAAAGGAACAAAAACAGACTGGATGATTCAGAAAGTACTGAYTGGGTCATCTCCTGCTCAGGACAACACGTGTTTAAACAAATCACATGGATTTAAATCATTATTCAACTTATTGTACGTCTGTCGTGAAGACGAGGCAGCAAAGGAGATCATTGTTTAAAGGTTTATCTCCTTGAAAGACATGAAATATTTTAGTTGGGCTAAATATGGCAGAGAGTTTGGTAAAGTGTGTGTTTTGGGTACAATTAATTTTAAAAGCAGAGTTGGACTGGTTTGAGTTCCAGAGATGACGAGAGTCCCCATCACATCCAGTAAGCTGTGAACCCCCCACGGCTGCTGGAGTGGAGGAGTTACATAGAAAACTTTTAACTCCCCTGCTACGCTACCTAAACGCCTCCCCGTGTCGATTGAGACGAGTGATGCTAGTTTAGTTTGGCGAGCCGTGCTTCGCTCACTGTGGTGACTCATGGAAAATCCCTTTGAGCTTCCATCCCACCCAGAGGGAGARCATATTTATACAACCCCATGTGACCTCGTGCTGGCTGGGCCAGAGAGAAAAATCTGTCCTTGTCAAAGCGGAACTCCACAGCAGCACCAAAGTACCGATGGTCCTTTCTTTTTGAGTCTGCTGCAGAAAGATAACCTGATTTTTTTCACCRTGCTGGGGTCCAGTCTCAGGTAACAGACGGGCGGAGTCTGGCTCAGGGTTCCTCACTGTCAAAGATTTTGTTTGGGTGTCTGTATGCACAGGTGAGCGGTGTCTCCTTTGATGAGTCTTGGTGCGTCAGCAAAGAGTCATGGACACGTAACCATGTATTCATCTGTGAGATTTGTGTAAGTATGAGCTGCTACAGGCCCAAAAAGACAAACAACAAATTAAGAACACAAAACTGCTGCCTGGAAACAGACTCACAGCTGCAACTGGGACATTTCACCYACAGATGCTCAGGAAGGTTGATGAAGAATGTTAAACATTTAACCAAAACATCGATCTGAAATATCTCAGCAACTATTGAATAAACCAGAAAAAGTTTGTTCTGACATGCTGCCAAAAACAACCAGTTCTCATAATCCTTTGAAATATTGCTCAGTGTAATGAAGCACCAGACAAATTTTTATTAAACTCCCTAATTTGAGTCTGAATCCTCTCAAATTAAGTGAAATAATCTGCCAGTGGAATAMGACAATTGCACTTGGTTAGACTTCTAACAAGAGAAATAATCCAGCACGTTCTCTTCTTGCTTAATATATCAGTCTCAAAACAAATATGTTTTAGTTGAATAGTAGGACTTAGATGGACAACGTATGCCGTGWACAGCTGATTTAGTTTTGGAGTCTATCCAATTCAAGATTGTTGCAACAGCTAATCGRCATYAGCCAACACAAAGGAGGCAATAAATTAGTCAKTTTTACAGATATTGASCTAAAACTCATCCTTGCAAATWACATTATTTTCATGTTTAAACCAAACCGTTCATAATTTCTCAACATAAGACKATTTCGATCCCAAACTCTGACATGAAAGGAGGCGGGTGATACGCAGTCACTGYGGCACCATTCTAGGTTCAAATGGTGGAATTTCACTTCCTTTCAACCCTGCTTAGTTCAACAGAATCAATCTGTTTTTRTTATGGTGAAAAAGCCTCAGGGAGAATTATTTTTAAACGTTCCCGTCGTGTGATTGATTGGYTCATTCTGGCTCAGGAGGTCTTCTTGACTCAACGCTTCGGCGCTCCTTTTATCCTGCCTCACACTCTGAGGCATCCTTCTGTGAGTCCATCTGTCTCTGGGATTCATCTTTATGTGTTAAAGTTCAATAAAAGACTAGAACTTAAACAGTCTATGGACTCAAACTCGGAGTCTCTCACTGTGATGCTCTCTGAGTTTTCCGCTCATTTTTCACCTGGGTCAGGTTTTGCTACTCCAGATTCCACTGTCACACATTTCTTCAAGTCTAATAAATGAGAAACAGGTTGAAGCGGGTTTACTTCACGGCTCACGTATGCACGTGTGTTTGTGTATGCAGATATAAGATGAAGCAGACAGACAGCACTCGTGTGTTTGCATAGTCGTGTCTCCCTGACATGAGATTATTTTGTGTCTAAACCGCAGAAAGGGGGAGTTCCTGTAGTCTGATTAAGACCAAAACACTGTCTGAGTCGTCTGTGTTGGTGCCATGCACTGCTCCCTCTGCGAAACGTACGGTGACTTCAGGGTTATGCAGAAGCAGAGATCATCTCATTGATGAATGGAGGGAGCTGAGAAAATAAACGCTCCAACTGTGTTATTCCACAGACAAAAGCCTTTCTGGACGAAGGCCGGTTGAGGCACTGGACCTGAATGCTGCTGGAAATGCTTGAGTCACAGTTCAGATGTAGAGCAATGACTCATWTTGGAGCTTCTGTGTTTAGTCATCTGGTGGAACCTCAATAACTACCAGATTCACTGAAGGAGAACAGGAATAATTTTATTGCCCAAGAATGGAATGAAGACCAAGTGAGGTCTTCACTTGTATTTTATAAGCAACATATCTCATCAATCACTGAGTGGATTTTAATGAATCTTTTAGAAAGTAATCAATACAACTAATTAAGTTTTGGAGTCAACCCAAAATCAAAATGGCAGCAACAACAAAGCAGTTTGAGCAAACACAACAACTGGCTGCATCTTACTAACATAAACTGAGCTAAAATCTGATGTGATTAACTTTTAGATTCCAACCAGTTTAAGCACAGCTTATCAAACTTAGCTCACATAAAAATGGCTATACCTCAGTAAATTTCAGAAATACTGAGTTGAAATTTGACGGAGTAGCCAAGCGTCATMTCCAACGTGTATTTTAAGAGCTATCAATGGACCCATTKCTCTCCCYAAAAACACWGAGCTTT